ATAAAATGTGCCAACATTCGGGTCTTTGCCTCCAATCTGTTGAACCGTTTTGTGAATACATATTAACACTCATTGACACCAATAAGGCATTCATTTCATGCATTAATTCAACTAAATCTTGACAATATGTTCTTGTAACTTTAATTCTAAAATTAGAAAGACTATTATTTATAATTAATGTATAAAAATGGAGTAATTGTTTGATATACATATCAATTTCTATACATATTCAGAGATAATAATATACCCTCGTCCAATAATTAGGCACTTTAACTTAATAAAATAACTATGAAGTTCATCTGAACTCAGGTCCGGTATTAACCTCTGAACATGTATATCAATATCAATATCCATAAACAAAACATACATACAATCCGTTCTTTATATCATTTGTATTGAACCCAAAAATTTGAGCCCCAATTAGGGATAGACTGTAGATATCTATCCTATGGTCGTAATCAATTGGATACGAATTTACTTCCGGTGCCATATAGTCAACAGTTCCCACATCTGCCGTATGTTTAGTTTTAGACATCCGATACCAATCAGTATTTGGGACTTCTTTAGCCAAACCAAAGTCACATAACTTTATGCGTCCGTCCATTGAAATCAACACATTATCCGGTTTATTCTTTAGCCAAACCAAAGTCACATAACTTTATGCGTCCGTCCTTTGAAATCAACACATTATCCGGTTTGAGGTCTCTATGAATGATATGCTTTTCGTGCAAATATTGCACACATTCTGTGAGTTCATAAAATATATGATACGATATACAAATCTCAGTTATAGTCATTTCATTAAACAATGATTTCTTAGTTTCCAAAACATTTGTCAAATTATCAGAACATAACTCAATTTGAATGTTAAGACAATTGTCTTTCTCATCAATCCATGAATTAAACAATGATTTCTTAGTTTTCAAAACATTGTTGAGATTATCGATACATAACTCCATTTGAAAGTAAAGACAATTACATTCAATCCATGAATAGTAGTATTGAATCACAAATATTGACCGAAGTTTTATCAGATGTTGGGTTTCATTCAAAACATTTTGTTTCTTTTTTTCCGATAAATCTTTCAAATAATTTATAAAATAAGTTTAAAATGATTAAGTTTAAATTAAAGTTTACCATTTAATTGGCATTCCTTTATTGCATATAATTTATGGTCACATTTATTTTGAACTTTATATACTTGTCCATAGCCACCCTTACCAAGCTCATTTATTACATCAAATGAATTTTCAAATGATAATGAATTATTCAACTTATCAGTAGTTTCTATAATAACACATAATAATAATAATTAATTCAATGTACATCTGATTAATGCCACAATTAAGACATTATTTTCATATTTACCACAAATATGTGTATTTTGTTGAATGTGTGCTGAAATGGTATTTGAAGTGATTTGCCATTCATTTGTAATATAATCATCAATTGATGTATAATTGGTTTCAAACACATTTTCGCCAACAATTTCATATATTTTATCACCAGATTTGCCCAAAATTTCTGACTCATTGTTTTGATACAAATAGTTTTGTTTGATTTCATTGAATACAAGATGTGATACTATTTTCAAACACTTATCATTAAAATCATATAGATATAAGTGACCATGGGTGGATAACAAATATACATTGCCACCATTGCCACTTGCCATCTTTAGTGAAAGTGCACTGTATATATTAATTGCTTTTTCCAATATGTATGGTGTTTCAATTATATTACGATTTACCACTCCCCATATAAGCACCTGTCCCTCACAGGAAATGGCAAGTGATGTATTCCAATTGCAATCAATTTTACTAATTTGGTATTCAGTGGCAAATTCAATAAGAATTGGATCTATCTGAAAAGGATTTTTCGCACAACCAACCTGTCCCCTGTCATTACACCCCCACCCAAATACCTGTCCATTTGTTGTCAACACAATTGTGTGTCTCTCGCCGCAACTTATTTGTGAAATAATTAAATTGTTTGATTGGAAATATAATATAGTATCCGGTTTATGGTATACAATCAAATCCCTGTCCACATTCCGTCCCAATTGTCCACATTCCCAATCGTCCACATCATTGCGACCAAAACTGAATATCATTTTATTATCCGTAGTGACAGCCAATACAAAGTCATATCCATTGAAAAACTGATGTATGTTTTTATGGCATAATTGTGGCACTGGTTGTGGTGTATCAATGGGTTCGTTGTGTCCTAACCCGAGCTGACCCTCATAATTAGACCCCATCCCATACACGCAACCACATTTGATCACAAACAGTATGTTTTGTTTATTGTGGTCATTGAAAATATAAAATAATTTAATTTTTTGTTTTAAATCTTCGGGTATTTCATCACAAATTTTATAATTATTTAATACGGTGCACATTTTAATAACAATTATTAAAGTCAACTAATTTTGAACTTATATTTATTGTAAGTCTTACAAGCTCTTTAATTTTTAAATGTAGAATTTGTAAATTTATTTACATCATGGAAACAATTATATTTTACAATTATAATAAATATTTACAAATACCATTAATGAAAATATTAATTAGACTAATTTAAATAGCACTTCACAATTAAATGCGTATTAATTTTGTAAATTTAATATGGAGGTTTATGTTTTTTCTATGTAACACAGAAATGTATAGCTTTTAAAGGACATACTCAATAGACAGGTTTTAATCAGATTTTAAAAGTTTATTTAAAAATTTATTTAAATAACTTATACAGTACATTTAAAGTGACATGATTATTGCTAAGCAATTAGTTATACGGTACAGTATACGTAGTAGACGGTACTATATAATGTAAGGATAATGCCATTTTTATTGAATTTATAATCCTTGGTTTATTCCATATAATTATTAAGTTTTAAATAAAATTCCAAATTATTAGATATTCAATGAATTAAAAGTATAATTTTAGTACATATCTAATAGTTTGGTTTATTACTAGGAATGAAATAAAAATGGATAAAAAGTGGGGTTTTATAACTGGGCTAAGTGTATCCCTATGATTCATAAAAAACACATTCATTAATTTAATCAGTTTTTGATTTTCAAACATATTAATTAAGATAATTTTATATGTTATTGAATATTCGTTTATATAAACACTTATTTGATAAAATTGTGACTATTTATTATAATTTTCTTTAAATTTGTTGATTACTCAGCAAATTTTATTATTCATAATATATTTTCTCGTCGATTAATAAAGGTTTGAGTGTTTTATAAATTGAATACTCGTCTAAAATGATTATAAAGGATTCAAATATTGAAAATGAAAAACTGATTAAAATAGTGAATAAGTTTTGTATTACTCACAGGGATACAAGTGGCCGTCTTTTTGTTACCCACTTTTATTTCCACTTTTCTGGAGATCCTATATATGAGTTGTTTTTAGGGATAAAAATTTTTTCGAAAAGTTTTTTAATTACTTTTTTGTGTTAAATATTTTGTGATTTAGTTTTCATTTAATTTTATTATATTTGTCGATACACATGGGGCTAATAATAAGGGTTTAGTACCAGTTAAGATACCCGGGTTAAATGCGGTAAATTAGTGTAGGAATTTTGTTTACGTAACTTAACCTTGAGTATGTAGAATGCGTTTTGTGTATATTTTCTAATAATTTCTAATATAATGAATTAATTCACTAATTATACGCATATAATAACCGATCATTTGTTAATTGTGTGTAAAATATGAGTTTAAATATGAGTGCAAACAAAAGCCCACAACAATCGGGAGTGGAGTCCAGTAATAGCCGATCCATACATACAAGTGATGTGAGGCCTACGGAACACGAGTCCAATGATTCACACAATGAAACACTTGTCGACGAAAATAGACATAAAAGTGAAGAAAATATCATTAAATCGATTCAATTGTTTCATGTTTT